TACCTCCTCTTGTCCCTGTGTCCTCTCGGCAAATTATACCAGTTGTCCTTCCCCCCATGCCCCGCCCCTATGCCTGGTGGCACAGTCACTTAGCGATTTGCTCCTTAATTGTCCCCCAGCTAGGCTGCGCAGATGCTGCTCTTTAATCTCTCCTGATAAATGAATCACGCCGCTCCTTTAATCATATGTTCATATCCAAGCCAATTTGAATCAATTTGGCAGGGAGTGTGTTGCAAGAGATGCCATGACGGCTGCTTCTCCCCCCAGGGCCCTGGAGCCAGCATGTCTGCTGTCCTCACCCTCAGCAGAGAGCCCAGGAGGCCGATCCAGGAAAAGGATCTCCTACCTGAATGGTGGGGACTTTACAAAGTCAATTGTCATTCCTGTCCTCCACGCAGGCAGGCCCGTGTGGGACTGGAGGCTAGATGGATTCCCAGTGGCCTCAGAAGTGGGAGGAAGTCGGGTGAGTCCACATCCTTCCTTGGTCCCTGAATAAAGGACCCCATTATCACCCCTGGGAGAAAGTGCTGCCTTAAATCTAACCCTCAGCCTTCCTGTTCCCCTTTTATTTCCTCCGAGCTAGTTCTCGGGGAAGCTGGAACACTTTGTCACCTTTACATGGCAACACGCTCCAGGCCAGCCTATGATCATTTGTCCTTGCTTGTTATTGCTCCTGGCTGCCACCCCAACTCCTTTCATCTTTCCCCAGGAAGTATTCTTTCCTAAAGCCTCCAGCCTGGTGGGCAGCCCTGGACTTGCTTGGTAATGGACCAGGTTTTGCCGCCTTTGGGATTGTTGCCTTTTCACCTACAGAGTGGGGTCCACGTGCCTTGGCGAAAACAAAACAAAACAGACAAATAATACCTGCTCAACCGAGCACTTCTACCGAGCACTGAGCACTGCGACCTTGGAGAAGGGACTTAACCTCTTGGGCCTCCGTTTCCCCATCTGTAAAACAAGGTGGCAAGAACCTTTTGGCTCCTAAGTTCTGAAGGAGCCCCTCAATGCTGCCAACATCCCCACCCGCATCATCCTTAGTGAGGAACCGAGGGACCTAACGGTGGCACTAGGGGGGCTATGAGATCCCCATGGGGGGAGGCACGTCTTTTCCCAGCGTGAGGTCTGTCAGGGTTGGTTCGGTCCAAAACCCGGTTGCACCTCCGCATCAGCTTCAGGCTTCAGGGCCCTTGGCTTTTAACTCGAGGGCGCGGCCAGTGCAGTCAGATTGCAGTCAGATGCATTGATTGGGAAACCGAGGTATATTAGCATATTCACATCTTAGTTGCAGCACCTGGGCCCCTAGCTCTGTCCCCACCAGCAGGTTCTTCCCGCTGTTCCAGGAAACCATACCCCTTTAAAGATTCCTAACCAGTTGGCCAGGCCAAACCCAGTCTGGTTGCCCTTTAAGGATTCCAGAGATGTGAGGACACCTGTCTTTGCTCAGCAACAAGACAATACTGTTTCCTGCTCTTTGAAGGGCTCCTGGAAGTCTTTGGCAGGAGCTGAGGCTGAGTAGTGACTGGGGCTTCCGGCCTGTCAGTGGCGATCCGTGCGATGAAGAGGATGATAAAAGCCAATAATAATTCCCATTTGTTGAGCACTCACAATGTCCCCAGTACTGATGCACTTTGCCTACCTAATCTCATTTAACTTTTGCCACAACTCTATAAAGTGTCCTTATCCCCGTGAGGAAACGGCATCTGTCCTCTCGGGGTTCTCAGCTTGGTTCCAGCAATCGCCAGGGACTGCTAGCTATTCTGGCCTTGTCAGAGGATGAAGAGGGCGGTGAGAGAGCCAACAATCACTGTCATGCTCTTCACCTCAAATAGCTGGTATCCGCCGAGGCCTTAGGACGGAAACATTTCTTGGCAATTTTAGGGGGAAATGCCAGCTTCCCATTTGTGTTGCTCCTTAACATTTTCAGAACATCCCCCACACGTTACCACACTGTGCTTCACACATACTGTGCCAACAATATGAATAACAGTTCCACGTGGCCCTGGATGCATATTTTAAGCTAAATTCGCCTCATTCTAATTCCATTACAGTACAAAGGAACGATCCAGGCCATTCTCTGCGATTTGATCTGGGAGGAGTGATTTCCAGAGCAATAGCCATTTTGGAGTTAACAAGAATGCCGGATTTGTTTAGAAGAAATTTCACAGAGAAATTGAGTCTTCTGTAGTATAAGCCCCGGTAATGGGTCATACACATAAGGGAGATTCCAAAAAGCATGTGTGCTTTGCGATTGAAGTCAGTGACATAAATCTCCCAGGGGAATCCTTAAATGTGCAGATGGAATTTGCTTTAGATATCAAAAGTCAGCTATGACAGTTT